TAAGTCTGCAGTCGCCGCTCACCATTCACCATCCACTACTCCCCACTCTCCACTCTGCGCTTCTCACTCTCCACTCTTCACTCTCCAATATTCAGTCTTCAGCCTTCTCACTCTTTGAGCATCAAATCAAATCAACGCAAGCGTTCAAACATGCAACGGAGAGAAGACAAGCCGAGACACGCTCGACTAATTATGGAAATGTCATCCATCGGACGCTGCTGGACTGGGCTGTTGCTGTGGTGGGATCGCGTTTGTGTGGAGACCCCACAAAGTGGAGTGAAAAAGTGAGCAAACACTCAGCGGCACTTGCATGGTAATTTATAAGAAGGAGAATTCTTTTTTGCTTTTGTCTTGCAAGAAATTAACCGAGTGAGAGAGGGAGAAAAAGACAGAAAGAGAGAGAGAGAGAGAGAGAGAGAGAGGCAGACAACGCTTAAGACAGCCAACGACGCCTTTCAAGTGACAAAAGTTCAGCTCGTGGGTGGCAAAGCCAGACAAAAATCGCCTGGGCCCCCATGCACAATGATATATGGTTTTGTCGCCTGTCATTTGGCTTTGGAAATTATTGTTGAGGCATGCACTTGGTGTGCCTGACGTCTCTTATACACTCTCTGACTATCTCTCTCTCTTTCTGTCTCTACTTCTGATGTATGTCGAAGTCTTTTACATAGATTATAAGCAAGATATTTGTAGTTGCAATTCAAAAGAATAAATTGATATTTATTTAATTTTTTGCTTATCTTAATATATTTCATCAAATAAATAAAATAAATAAAATGAATATTTAATATATACATTGTAAATAATTAAAATTTATTATATTCTATTATATATTATCTATACCTTATTATATTATACATATAATATGATATATTAATAATCCACATATATCCATGATATATCCATATCCATATTATCCATAGAGTAGGGTATATCAAATTTGTTTTTCTTTTGCAATTGTGTTTTCAGTAGTTGCACTCGACTTGTTGTTGCAGTTGTAAATTTGAGTGAATTACGATCTTACTTGGTGCACCATGTCTGCATTTTAAATATATGTATATGTAGTCAACACCTATCTGGGAGATAGTCGGCGATTCTAATGGCAAAAAAGTAGTCCTCAGCTCTTACCACGTTTGTCTTCTGTTTAAGTATAATTTACTTTTTCTTTTCTTTCATTTTTAAAAAATCTTTTTCGCTTTGTAATATTTGCATTTTCTTTCATTTGTTTTTTTTTTTTGTACGAACCGATTTTTCATCTCCCATTATATTTTGCAGCGAACGGGAGAAATAAATTTGCAAACGGCAAAAGAAATATTTTCGCGAAATTCTCAACCGATAAATTCTTGCCACTGTTCTCTTGTTCTCCTTTTTTGTGCTTCTCGTGGCTTTCCCCTACCCGTCCATATTGGTCACCGGCTGACAAGTCCAGTCCTGGTTCGAAGATTCCAGATTCCAGGGGTGGGTGGGCGTCGTGGAATGATAAATGGGCGCGGCCAGCGAGAACTATAATGGCCACCGCGATGGCTTTCACCTGTGCAGCTCAAATTTTAAAGAAAAAATCGCCAGTTATCGAAGGAAGTATTTGATAAAGAGATACCCTAGAAATAAGGTGATGATGATATATAGTAATATTATTGTAGAACCTATGACTTTTATACTCTAAAATCTTTATAAAATAGTTAACATATGCCTGTCATTGTGTCGTATAGTTATTCAGGGAATAAATTTATTATTTTCTGATGTACAAATATGGATATGGATAACATTTCCTACAACTATTTCAGAAAAACTTCAAACTTACCTCTCTACGCTACTCGACTGCCGTGTGCAGGTCAACCTCCGTTATGTGTGCCGCTTCTCTTTGCGATTCTCAGCGATATGTGGCGAAATGGACATTTATGAAAGAATTATTGATGCCAGCGCCAATATGTATGCGTGTATGTGTCTGTCTCTCTCTCTCTCTCTCTGTGTGTGTGTGCAAAGTTTATAGCATATTTTTTATGACTCTCGCTCGCATCTCTCCCGCCCCACGTCGCGCATTTTGGTCACCCGGAGAGGTCATTCCCAATGTGGGCAGCCAAATGCCAAACCGTATAATACAATAAATTGCCAGGTAGTCACTGGGCGGCTAGCTGTCAAAATGCAAGGGCATGGCTAAAATATAGCTCTACCGCCAGCTCTACAACTCGTACTCGTACTCCCACTCCCACTCCCACTCCCGTGTAACGAAAATTTTAATTTATCGACGCCATATGTGGGCAGCGAGCAGAGTAACTATTGGGCCTCCCTCACAGCCCTTAAGTTCGCTCGCTTCGCAGCGCAACTTCTTTTTTGGGGGAAATATAAAATTTGATTTACTGCCGTGTCGGTAGCTTCGGCAGCTAACTTCCAGCCGCCTCAAACCCTACGATTACTCTCCACACCTCTCCGTCTCCCTTACTCTCTCTCGTGCTCTCTCTTTCGCTCTGTCTGTCTCTCAATCTTAGCGGGCATAATTCAGGGGCCAATGTAGCTGCATTCTATGATTTGTGGGTCTCTGGTTTATTGGCTCTGGCATCGGGCCCGACTCCCTGCGCGTTTATTCATTTCGCATTTTGAGTTACGACCGTTTAGCTCTACGCCCTGACAGCCCAAAGTGGATCGCTTGTGCTGTGTAGGAGTGGTAGTATCTATGTACAAAATTTGTATATTTTCATGGAACCAAAACTTAAATATCTCCGTACAAATTGATTCTGAATTAAATGAAACTGAGATGAGCCCTGGAATACTTAAATCCCATAAAGGCTACATTAAAGATTTTACTCGCACTCAAATTGCTGAAGGAAATCGAAATAATTTATATACTCCATATCAATATCAATGTTCATCCATTCTTCAAAGATATTTCAGGAGATTTTGCTTTTATTAATTTCGTAAGACTAAATAATTTTTAAAAATTTACATAGATTTGTTGATTTAGGCAGATAATTGATAATCGTTAGTTTTAAATGAAAATCATACGATCTTGTTCTCATCCTATCCTTAGATGATCCTTTGAAGATCGTGATCATATCAAATTTATATTTAAGATCTGAAATTATGAAAACCATACGATCTTGTTCTCTTCCTTTGACGATCCTTTGAAGATCCTGATCATATCAAATTTTTATTATATTATATTTGTGAAGATCTGAAATGATATATCTATTATAATAAAACATATATTTTTATGTATCTATGCATTTTTAGTCCACAATCCCATAGGAATTGCAGGCACTTTGAAAGTAGTAGAATGGATTTGTAAAAAGCTCATTTGACGGTCTGTATAAATGATAAACCTTGAAACTAAACCAATCCTTGCAGTCATTATGAACATATTTTTTCATGATTAGCTCATTGGGTGAGTGGTAAATTGAAGCATGCTATTTGTGGCACTGAGAAATTAATATGCTAGAGACTTGAAATTATGAGAGTATACTCATAGAGACAAGGCATTACTAAAGAGTATGTTTCCGATATATTCGTCCCCTCTTCAGACTTGCCATATGTAAGAGGCTATATTTCGGCAATTTCTGAGCCAGAGTTTCACTACAAAAGATTGAACAATTTTGGCACATTAAAGAGTATTACCCAGCCAATGTCTCCCGATGAGAGAAGCAAATAGAGACTATATGAAATATTTTACCATTACTCTCTGTTAATACATTAAATGACATATATATA